CAGACAGACAGACAGACAGACAGGTAGATAGATAGATAGATAGATAGATAGATAGATAGATAGATAGATAGATAATGAGCAGGGTATAACAGGCAGAGAGAGGTCTCACCTTGTCGATGAAGGAGGCAAAGCGATTGTTGAGAGTTTTGATCTCTTCTTTCTCCTGGATCCGTACAAACCTGCAGGTCTGGGTCCAGCTGAAGATCCACAGGAGTTAGGAGGCTTGTGTTAACAGACACAGCCCTGATGGGGGCCGCAGCCGGTGACACGCTCCCAAACCCGAAATACGAGTTACCCTGCCGGGGGATTTGTGCTCCGGCGCGGGGGTACGAGCCCACTGAGCGGCTGCTGAAGCTGGAGGAGCTCATGGCGGACAGACAGACAGAGAAATGGAGAGGTGCGTTACAGAGGGATGACAGGAAGACAAGTGGTGTTTCCTGAGAGCTCAGCTACTTATACGCTGACAGGTGGGCGTGTATTTGTGTATAAATGAGAAAATACCAGCATTCCTCACTCTGAAAAACCTGTTCAGCCCACCAGCCATAACTGACAGGACGAGCAGAACTACTGTTCACAGATCTCAGTTCAGAGATATCAGACACTTCAAGAGATCTACCTTTACATATTTCCTGTTCCTGCTTGTCTAAAATATGTGAAAAATATACAGTAGGGCTGCAATATTAGCTAAATGTGCTGTTTGAGTTGCTTTTGCACGTATTTCTTGCTTTTTGCTTGCATATTGTGCTATTTGCTCCTGCACAAAACAGTAATTGGATTCAATGCAATATTTGTTTCTATACAGCTGATTCAGAATAATTTTTGCATTCATTTCTTTGGCTTCTAAACGAAATGCATTGATTATTCAAACAAATCTTCTGGGGGGTTTTTTGTTTGTTTTTTTGCCATGCACATATAAAAATGCAGGATATTGGCTTTAAAAGAGTATATTTGCAATAGTGTAATGGCTTTTTTTTATGATGGAAGGCCAAGATGTGATTTAACAGCATATATACAGTATGCTTAACTGCTGTTATGTACATAAGCAAACATTTTAAATTTTTCATTTATAATTTGCTGACTGAGAATCTAACTTATTCTTTTTTGTCTGAACCATTCAAGCCCCATGTTGAGTTTAATGAAAAATGAGCAATGAGTTCTCAGCACATAAAAATATTATAAATATCTAAAAAAGTAAAGATTTGTTTAAAAATTAACTTATATATATATGAGTTTTTTTTTTGTTTTTGTTTTTTTCTTTACAAAATATAAAGTTTTTCCCCTAACAAAATTAAAATGATAAATCAAATAATTTTTTTTTTTACTGAAATAAAATATATTTAAAAACCGTTTATTTATTTTATTTCAGCTAGTTGCCAAGGGAGTATTTCTCATTTTGGTTTAGCTTAAATTGAAGTATTCAAATAACTAAAAATACTAAAAAACTAAACCTAAAAACTAAAATTTAATAAAAAGGACAAAAACAAAGCAAAATTACTAAAACTAAAAAACAACATAAAATATAAAATGTAACTAAAAAAATATAAAAATAAAGTCTAATTCAAAATATTAACAAAAACTATAATTGTATATTAATTATACTAAAATAACTATAAAATAATAATAAATTAAATTCTCAAAATGCCTGCAGTAATGATAAATCAAATGCCCAATTCAATTTCATTTTATAGATTAGGGTAGCATAGACTATACAAAAATTTAAATTAATTAAAATATAATTTGTGTTTGATAATTCATAATTTAAAAAAATAATACTAATTATATAGTAGCTCACAAGAGGACGCTTTTGTTTGTTTATTACAGCACCATCCTTCAGAGGGCGCTGTTGGGACGCACGTAAAGCTCAACTGTACGTACACAAATCTGCTTCCTGTTTACGTTTGCTGAACACTTTCACGGTGCGAGAAGAAACAGGAGACATCGCAAACTGCACCTGGAAACAGGCTTCGCGTTAGTTTTGTTCAGAACCGTCGCTGTCCGTGCTCCTGCAGCCGATCCTGTCTGTTAGACGGGCCGTTTCAATGCATTTCAGAGAAGCTTTACCGCCGCGCAGATGGACGCTGTTGATCTGTTTTCAAGCTGCAGAAAGGGCGACATTGCCAGACACTGGCCCTCCAGGACCGAGTTTGGGCACCCCTGGTATATATAAACCAATTTGCATGGCCTATGTATATTCATCAAGCGGCAACCTTCCGGTCTCTCGTGAAGCCAACACGGAAGTGGCTAAAACTGCAATTCATCAACTGGCCGCTAGAGGCTGGCTCCAAAGCTTCTTGTTGTTGTTTTGGTTTGAAGTTTCGCATGTGGGAAAATATGCATGGTCTATTTGTTAAGATATCTGATATGCATATATACAGAGCAGATATACGCGAGATACCGAATATGCATATGGAAATTAATTTACACAGCCTACGTAATCTCTAGACTCTGATTTATATTCAAGCAAGTGTGCATGACCTATATGTCTGTAGATACTGTTTAGTCATAACTAAACTAATATACATGACTTCATAATCCATGCATATCTGTTTGCACATCTAAACAAAATTGCGTGGACATTATAGACGTACTGTATATGCATACGCATACCTAAGCAAATGTGCATGTGCAATATATGTACACCACGTATGCATATTTAAACAATACTTTTCGTGTTTGTATTAAGTAATTTTAGACATTACATATGCTTATCTAAAACAAAAGTTTTATTTTCATATCTATAAAAAGCTGTTTAAATGCTGTATGTACTCATGTAAACTTATTTTTATATATTTGTGCAGATCTAAGCAAATGTGTCTATAGTGTGCGGATATTGCATATGCATATCTGAACACATTTGCTTGACGTGTATTGTCTTTAGATGCAGAATATGAATATAGAAGTAAATATGCACAGCCTATACAATCTCTTAATTAAGTAGAGAATAAAATACTCTTTATTCATAATTGTTCATACATGCATTTCTTATTTAATCTTTTGAGACAGCATATGTATATATCAGGGGTGCCCAAACTCGGTCCTGGAGGGCCGGTGTCCTGCAGAGTTTAGCT